TCCAACATCCACCTGTAGGGATACATTAACACGAGCCCGACCTCACACGAGCACAACGATCGCAAACATGGAGCCCGACCTAACACGAGCACAGCGATCGCAAACATGGACCAAGGGGGCGTGGATTAGCGACGGGTCTCGTTTCCATGGGAAATCGCTGATATTCGTCGCCGAGCGAGGCAGCACGGGCCGCATTTTGGGGAGGGCAACTCCCCCGATCCATGTTTGCGCGCCCTCCGAGGCGACGGCGAACACGAGCATTAAGTCGGGCGTGTCCCTCCACAGGAGGGATACCCGAAAATAGTCAAAACATAGTCTGGGGACGATTCTCGACCAGTGCGGGGGCGGCGGAGGGAGGGGCCCAGGGCGACCGCGGAGGGAAGGCGGCACGGGGGCGGCGGAGGGCCGCGACCAGCTCCACGACGAGCGCGGCGGCAGCGGCGACGGCGAACACGGGCACAGCGAGGGGGCAGAGCCAGCCCACCGCGGAGCGCACCGCCCTCGCCTGTCGGGGCTCAAGGGACGCGGGTGCATGCAAACGGGGGCCAGTCAGAGCGCTGGACCTTGCAGGATCCTGCAGGGCCAGGGTCGCATGTGGCCAGGGCTTGGGTGCAGGATCCTGCATCGACTAGACGTAAGTGTGACCCTACGCCGGAGTGACCTTTGGTGCGGGCTCATCGGGCTCCCCCCGATCGCCGAGCACGATGCGATATAAGCGGCCCACGCCCTTGGGATTGGCTCGCTCGCGCCCCCAAAGCTGCGCACCAAAGGTCACTCTTACCCAGAATCACTCTTACGTCTAGCCGACTGCATGATCCCGCAGCAACCTGCAAGGCCTGACTGACCCAGGTTTGGATGGACCCGGGTCAGCAGGTCCCCGATCAATGACGAGAGCGGCGGCTGCGGCGACGGCGAACACGGGCACAGGGAGAGGGCAGAGCCAGCCCACCGGGGAGCGCACCGCTCTCGCTTGGCAGTGCACGCGCGCGCGCGCGCGAGCGCCGCCGCTGCCTTCGTCACCGCGCGCGGCCGCGCGAGGAGGTGGTGCTGCGGGAGGAGAAGGCGCCGGCGCTCGAAAGCCAACAGGTCCACAAACATTCAGGCGATCTCAAACATGGATCAAGCATTCGAGTGTGTTTGATTTTTTTTTTGCATCTTTTCCTCCCAGGTCCGCCTGTAGGGTGACATGCCCGACCTGACACGAGTCCGACCTATCACGAGCACAACGATCGCAAACTTGGAGCCCGACCTAACACGAGCACAGCGATCGCAAACATGGATCAAGGGGGTGTGGATTAGCGACGGGTCCCGTTTTTGTGGGACATCGCACATTTCCGCCGCCGAACGAGGCGGCACCGGCCACATTTTGGGGAGGGCAACTCCCCCGACCCATGGATTTGGCGAAATGAGACCCCCCTCCCTTCATTACGAAATCTGGAGTACCCCGAGAGCATCTGGAGGAGAGGGAGGGGGGCGGGGCTGCGCGCGGCTCGGCGCCAGCAGGAGGGGCGGCTCGCACAGGACCTCGGCCCCAGCCGGACGGCCCCTGCATCGAATTCCGCTCCGCTAAGCTTGAGTCGGGCACGTCCCTCTACAGGAAGAATACTCAAGCATCGTCAGCACATGCTCTGGGGACGATGCTTGAGCATTCGTTTTGTCAAGGTTTGAGTAGTTGTGGGGCATCCTTCATTCTTCGCCCAGTGCCCCCCTGTAGGAAGACATGCCCGACCTAAAGGTAAGCTCGGAACCTCTCGTCCTGGCGCGCGCGCGCGCGCGAAGGCCTGGACCGCAGGCGCCCTGGCCCGAGCGCGCGGCCCCGGGCGCAAGCTGCGCCTGGGCGGCAGCTGCCTCGGGACCCGCGGGATGCTGCGCTGCTCCCAGGACCTCTCGGCGATCGGCGTTCGATCACCCCCCTCCTGGGTCTGGGTCTCGGCGGTCGTCGTTCGCGTCGTCGCCGTCCTCCCTCCTCCCTCGTTGTCGTCGTTGTCGTCGTTGTCGCCGTCATCGTCCTCCCTTCTCCCTCGTCGTCGTCTTCGTTGGCGACGTCGTCGTCGTCTTCGTCGTCGACGTCGGCGTCGACGTCGTCGTCTTCGTCGTCGTCGACGTCGGCGTCGTCGTCGTCGCCGTCATCGTCGTCGTCATCGTCGTCCGTCTTGCTTCTCCGGCCTTCTTGGGTCTGGGTCGGGCGCACCCAAGTGGGGCGCCTTGTGCCGAGACCCTGGGCAAAGGGCAGGCATGCCTATGTCCCACGTAGGGCTCTGGCAGTGAGGCAGGTGCCCCGTGCGCGTGCCCGCTCCCCGAGGGCCGGGCCCCGCAAGTGCAGAGCAGCGCCTGCCACCCGCCAGTTGACGGCGTGCAGATGCACGGCGCTACTGCGCAAGCGGCCTCCACTTCCTCCGCCTGCGTCACCCTGCCTGCCGGGAAGAGAGGGGGACCACGACCGAGACGGAGACGACGACGCGACGACGACGACGACGACGACGACAACGACGACGGCGAAACGGAGACTACGACGACGACGACGACGACGACGACGACGACGACGACGACGACGACGACGACGACGACGACGACGACGACGACGACGACGACGACGACGACGACGACGACGACGACTACGGCAGCGGCGGCGGCGGCGGCGGCCGCGGCGGCGGAGACGGCGGCAGCAGCAGCAACGGCGACGGTGACGACGACGACGAGGACGGCAGCAGCAGGGGCAGCCGAGGGGGGAGAGGGGGGGAGGAAGGAGGGCGGGGGACCGCAGGGAAGGCGGCAAGGGCGGCACCGCAGAGGAGAAGGCAGAGCAGGGCGGCGAAGACAGCGAGAATGGACAGAAAGTAGTGCGCCGCAGTTCACGCCGAATGGCGGGCGCCACAGCGCAGGCAACGGGGCACGCCAAGTGGCGGGCGCAAGTGCGCCGGTCGCCTCAGGCCTCGCGCCGCCAGAAGGGCGCCACCATGAAGGTGACCACAACAGCGGCCCCAGGGCCCAAGGAGACGAGGGAACCGGGGGAGGGAGGAGGCAGCAGAGAGACGAGCGGTATGGGACTCGGCGAAAGCTTGCCAGAGGCGCCCCGCAGGAGAGGCCGAGCCGCGTCCAGCACGCAGCGACGAGGGCAGGAGAGCAGCAGGGGCAAGGAAGGGGGGGGGCAGAAGAGGGACGAGCGGGACGGGACTCGGCGAAAGCCTGCCTGAGGCACCCCACGGGAGAGGCCGAGCCGCGTCCAGCGCGCAGCGACGAGGGCAGGAGAGCAGCAGGGGCAAGGGAAGGGAGGGGGGGGGCAGGCAGAGGAGAAGAGGCGGGGAAGGGAAGGCAGAGGAGCGAGGGGGAGGGAGGAGGACCAGGCGGAGAGCCACGCCCGCCGGCTCCACAGAGCCCCTCCGGCCACAAAGGCCCCACCGGCCCCAGAGGGGGGGGCCCAAGCGCCGCCCTCGCTGCCGTAACTACATGGCGGTCCCCTCCCCCCCCGCCGGGGCCCACGGCAGCTTGATCCTCCTCCTTGATCCTCCTCCTTGATCCTCCTCCTCCCCCTCTCGTCTCCTCCTCCTCCTCCTCCTCCTCCTCCTCCTCCTCCTCCTCCTCCTCCCCTCCTCCTCCCCCTCCTCCACCTCCCCCTCCTCCTCCTCCCCCTCTCCTCCTCCTCCTCCCCCTCCTCCTCCTCCTCCTCCTTCTCCTCCTCCTCCTCCTCCTCCTCCTCCTCCTCCTCCTCCTCCCGCCCCGCTGCTGCCCCCCACTCCTGGGCGCCAGGCACAGCAGGGTATGGACAGAAAGTGCGTGACCTCGGAGGCCCTAGGTATCCCCGACCTGGCCCCGCGTGGGGGTCGGGGCGTGAGCAGGGGCATCGATACCCTTGCGATCGCCCAACCTCCGCGACGAGTAGGAGGGGACACTTCGCCGGAGTGGCCTTTACTCTGGTGCGGGCCCACGGGGCTCCCCCCAGCACCAGCTTCCTCGGGCGGGCCCAGCTCTGGGCTTCAATCGCTCTGAGAGCGCCCCGGAACGCTCTCAGAGCGTCCCGGAGCACTCTGGAACGACCGCGGGGCCCGATACATGTTCTAGAACCGCCGCATCTCAGAGCTTAGATCTATCCTGGGTCTCAATTTGTCCCAGTCGTGGCTGCGTCTTACTTGCGCGCTTGGACTCTTCCTCCCCGCGGCCTCCGAAAGCCGCGCACCAAAGGTCACTCTTGCCCAGTGTGCCTCCTTCTGAGGCAGCGATTGTCCGCGACCACGTGCGAATCCCACCCATAATATGGGTCCAAACGACGCGGGGGTATCGGACACCCCGCTGGGGTGTTCGTGGCTGCAGGCAGACATCTGTCGATTTCTGAACTCCAGCCGCCGTTTCAGAAATATGGCATACATGGACAGGGTTCACATATGTCAAGAAGCGTAACACGTGAGTTCGGCAGAACTCGGGTATGCCGACGCTTTTTTGACGAGCCCGTCCAATTATTTGACGCCCCAGTGTTCGTTCTTTGGACGTCTGCAGCGGGACCTCGCGTCAAACTTCAGGCTTTGTCTCGTCATGCTTCTCAAGGCATCATTAGGGCAACCCGAGTTCCCCGAACCCGAGTGTATGTGTGCGTTGCCTCCCCAGGGGCGACGCGCGCACCGAGAACTCTTATATACGTCGTGGCGGGCGCTTTCTGGCCACACCGCTCGGGAAACGATACACTACAAGATGGATGTTCGGGTCGGACGCGCGCCGCCAAGGAGGACATATAGTACTAGTAAGTCGCTGTGCGTCCCAAGACAGGAGGCTGCCGCACTGCTCGCCGCTCGCCCCGTGGCGGGCGCGGCCCGCGCAGGCAGCGGCGGCGGCGCGGCGCTGTGGAGCGCTCCGGAGGCGTGGCGGGCCTTCAAGGACGACCCGGCGGGCCTGGCCACCACCGCGTGGGCGCTGGCTCTCGGGGGCAGCGTCGGTCAAGCAGTGGCGAAGCGTCCTTGCCCGCCTGCAGGCCCACCAAGCACTGTTTCAAGAGCCTCTTGTGGTTTCTGCGGCATGTTCTGAGAACATCTCTGGCTGGGGCTGTCTTGTTGCTGTACGTCGGGTGAGTGTTCTAAGGACCTTGTTGGACTTATGAGAACATGTTGGGTTTATGAGAACATGTCGTGGCAGGCCTCTAGGAATGCCAGGGCGGTCGGCCCCTGCTCAAGTCAGAGGTCGGAGCCCCGAGCCATCAGGGCAGGGGGCAGTCACGGCCACCGCCTGCTGCGTGCTTCGGGGCCGCACGGAGTTGCCCCAGACTGGAGTCTAAGTCGATCCACGACTGGAATTGCACTGGCTTCCAGGCCCCGGATTCCTTATCTGAGGGTTCCGTATCCAATGCCCCCACCGTAGCCGTTTCGGCGCGAGCTGGTGTTCTGGAGCTGGAGACAGCTCGCGTTTGTGTCCACTTACTTCGAAGCGGCGTAGTGGGCACGAGCCAACTTTCACGACGACGGCCCCACCTGTGGCAGCCCGCGGGTCATGGCGCCGTCACCTTCGGACCCGGGCATCATCCCAGGCGCGCGCAAGACACCTCTCTGGTCTTGCTCCTGCGGCTGTGATGGCAACTGGGCGTCCAGGACGCGCTGCCGCCTGTGCTGGAAGGCTGCTCCCACCCATGTGGTGCAGGCAGCCAAGCTCTCGGCAGCAGCCGCCAGCGGGCCAGCTCCCAGCTCGTCCCGCCCACGTGGTGCCTGGGCGCAAGGCCCGCCAGGACAGGGGCAGCTGCTTGCGCAGCTGCAGCAGCTGCAGAAGCAGGTGGCAGAGCTCAAGGGCGAACCCCCGCCTCCGACGGAGCCCTGGAAAGGACGCAAGCCCCCGCCCAGGAAGTCGGTCGAGGAGAGTCCTGGCATCTCCTTCAAGGACGTGCGCACCTTCTTGGCAAAGGAGGGGCTTGACACCAGCGCGGTGGAGGAGGCAGAGAAGGTTGCGGAGTCGAAGACGTTGGAGAGCAAGCAGCCTACTGCTCAGACGCAGCGCTGGCGGGTCAAGGCCAGGCGGGACAAGATCAATAAGCTCGAGGCCCGCGAGTCAGCCATCCTGGAGCAGCAGGCCGCACTTGACAAGGAGCTCCTGGAGTTCAGGGCTGCGCTCGGCGAAGAGAACCAGAAGCTTGCGGAGGGGGAGGCCAAGTTGGTCAAGTTGCAGGCCAGCGAGTTCCCCGACCCGATCTTGGCAGGTGCAGCTGGGTTGGATGAGGACGTCGCCGCCAGCCAGGAGGCCAAGGACGCCCTCGCGGTCCTCGCCCGCTTGCAGAACTCAGCCAGCGAAAGCAAGAAGGCTGCCGCCGCTGCCAAGTCCGCTGCGGCTCCTCCTGGTCCTTTTGCTGGGGGTCCAGACGCAGGCGGCGAGCACCAACCTGTGCCAGAGGCAGACGACATCGACATGGAGCTGCTGGGAGGAGAAGGCTGGGAGGAGAAGCGTGAGGAGTATGCTGCAGCATCAGCAGCCCTCCGTGAGGCGACCCCTGAGCAGCGGGACGAGGCCAAGCGCAAGCTGCGGGATGCCTTGGACGCGCTCTGGGCAGCAGGCAAGCGGCCTCGGCACCTTTGACCCCTGGCCCATCGCGAGCCTGGACCTCGCCTGCACGGGGAGGTGCCCCCGCCATCCCTGGGTTGAGGGGGCAGGCGCGAGGGGGCCCGTGGCGGCCGAATGTCTGCAGCTGGCCAAGCTGGTGCGGCCTTCGGAGAAGCTGGGCGCCAGCTTCCTCAGCATCAACGGCTCCACGTGGGCCGAGTCCCAGACGGCTCTCGAGCAGCTGCTGGACGAGAAGGTCAGGGGCGATGTGTATTTCATCCAAGACACCCGCTTCATTTCGGCGCTGGCGGAAGGCTCGGCCCGTGCCTGGTGCAAGCGGAACGGCATCACTGCGGCCTTCGGAGAGTGCCGCAGCACGGGGACGGCGGTCCAGGCAGTCTCGTCTGGGGTCGCGGTTCTGGTCGGGGAACACCGCGGAGTGGCCGCGATCGACCAGGCTTGGGGCCAGCACGCGCCGAGGATCGTGGCCAGGCGCGTTGCTTTCGGGGGCCTGGTCGCGGTGTGTGTCAGTTTGTACCTGCAGTGCTCGGTCAAGCTCAACGAGACCAACGTGGACCTCTTGAGTGAGCTGCAGGGTTTCCTGCTGAGCTTGCGGGGGCCCTTCGTAGTGGGGGCCGACTGGAACTTGGAGCCCAGCCTCCTCAGCAGCTCGTGGTGGCCACGAGCAGTGGGGGCAGTGATAGTGGCGCCTGAGGAGCCGACCTGCGGCGACAGTACCTACGACTTCTTCGTGATCTCAGACGTACTGGCTGGGCTAGGGCCGAAGGTGTCGGTGCTTAGACAGGCGACCACACACCCGCGCGTACCAGTCAGGCTCACCTTCGAGAAGTTGAGCAGCCAGGCAGGGGTCTGGGTGCAGAAGGGCCCCAAGCCTTTCGAGCTGCCAGCGGCCAAGCAGGAGGGGGTCCAGCCCGAGCCAGAGGAGGAGGACTCGCTGACGGACTGGAAGGCGCCGCTCCTGGACGAGAAGGGGAGCCCGAACAAGGCGATCTCCGAGTTCTTTGTCCTGGCAGAGGAGCGCCTGATTCACCTCCTCGGCATCGAGGGCGGCGCCAAGTACAGAGGCAGGGCGCAGGGGCTCAAGAGGGCACCCAAGCAGCTCATCCACCTCCTGCGCTCTGAGGAGGTCCGCAGGACCAGCCCGCTCACTCGTTGCTGGATCACTTTGGGGCGCCTGGCCACTCAGCTGGCGGCCGCGGCGTCGGTGCCTCACCCCTCGCATGAGCACCGCAAGCACGTAAAGCGCCTGCAGGAGGCCGCATTAGGCTTGGTCCCCAAGTTCGAGGCAGCTGGCTGTGACATTTTCGGCGGCACCAAGATGGAGACGATGCTTGAGGAGATCTCGGGCAGGTCGCAGCAGGGCGGCATCTTCCTCCAGGCCATCAGCGCCGTCGTAGAGGTCAAGCGCAAGGAGGACGTGAAGCTCGCCAGGCAGCGCTGGAAGGAGTTCATGGCCGAGGCCCTCAGCAAGAACGGGAAGGGCGCCCACGCGATCATCAAGCAGGCCAACCTCGAGTCTTGCTCCATCCTCGGCCCAGGCGAGGGCGAGGCCCCCCCAGCCCCGCTGGTCGGGCAGCAGGCCCTGGGCAGGATCCTGCAAGAGTGGAAGGCGCTGTGGCACAAGGACGGCTCCTCCAGCGTCCGCACAGAGAACTGGGAGGAACCCTTCGGTTTGGACGCGATCACGGCGGAGGAGGTGCTGGCAGCGGCGAAGAACTTTCCCAGGAAGACGGCGCTGGGATGGGACGCATTCCACCCCAGGCTCATCCTCAGCTTAGGCAGGGTGTACGCCGAGAGGCTGGCCGAGATCTTGACAGCCTGGGAACGCCGCCCTCAGACGTCGGAGCTTTTCACCACGATCATTGTTTTCTTGGGGAAGCCCGACGGGGGCCGACGCCCGATTGGCCTCCTCTGCATGTGGCTGCGCATCTGGAGCCGCATCAGGCGCAAGTACTGCGCGGCCTGGGAGAAGGACCACAAGCTCCCCGAATACTGGGGGGCAGACACGGACACCTGTTGCGACAGGGCGGCTTGCATTCACAACCTTCTGCTCGGCCTCACGCGAGAGAAGAACTTCGAAGCGGCATCGGTCTACTTCGACATCAGCAAGTTCTACGAACAGATCAGCCACGAGCTGCTGCTCGAAGCGGCTCGAGGCTGTGACTTCAACACTGGGTTGATACAGGCGCTGTGCGTGCTGCTACTCGGGCCCTCGCAGAGCCAGGGCTGACCTAGCCCTCAGCGAGCAGCTGGTCATAGACGACACCGTCATCGCTGGCTGCTCCTGTGCGACGACCATGGCGAGGATCATGCTTTACGACCTACTCCTGCAGTCGAGGAAGATGCTGCCGATAGGCATGGTGGTCAACGTGATTGATGACATCTCGGGCCGCGCCATCGGCACGCGCAGGCTCGTCGTTGAGCAGATCGCCAGGTTCGCGAAGAGAGTTGCCACCATGCTGGGGGACAAGCGGCTCCCCATCAACTGGGGAAAGACCAAAGCACTGGCTTCCTCAGCGAAGCTGAGGAGAGAGCTGCAGCAGCACGCCAACTGGGTCCTCGCAGACGAAGCCTTTGTCGCTGGCCACCGCGACCTCGGAGGAGACGCGACAGCGGGCAGCCACCGCAGGGTCGGGGCGCAGGTGGCCAGGGGGCTGGCGGCGCTGCGGCAGGGCAACAACCTCACCAGGATCTTCGGCTCGGGGATGAGGCAGGCCAAGATCCAGAGGGCAGGCCCCACGGCCAAGGCCCTGTGGGGCTCGGCCATCAGCGGGATACCTCCTGGGCGCATGAGGGCGCTCAGAATATCTGCAGCGAAAGTCGCCTGTAACCTGCCGACGGGCGCCGCGCCGACGTTCTGCCTGCAGTGCGCGCCCCAGGGCTGGAGGCAGGATCCGCTGGTAATTGCGACGGGCATGGCGGTCCAGGCGCTTGTGGCCATGAGCTGGTCTGGCCAGGCCTCGCCTGCGGCAGTGCAGGCCTGCCTCAGGGACAGCAGCCGTCTGGCCTCGCTGCAGAGGCCGTGGGCCGCGGTGCGCGACCCCGTCTCGGCGCTGGTGCTCACGCTAAGGCGGGTCGGCTGGGGCCTCAGAGCAGGCGGTCGCATCCTGACCGACAGGGAGGGCTGCGAGTTCGATGTCATGAGATTCTCGCCCGCTTTCCTCGCCGCCAGGGTCAAGGAGGACACGCGTCAGGCGGCCTCGCTCGAGGAGTACGCCAGCAGGCCCGAGACTTTCTGGCAGTGGGAGCTGCCGCCGCGGTGGACGCCGATCAACCAGCTCCTAGGGGCCAAAGAGTCAGATACCTGGACGGGCCACCACAAAGGCTGTCTGAGACGTTTGGCGTCGTTGGCCAGCTGGCCCCAGGCCCGTCTGGCGAGGCATGGGCGTGAAATAGACCCGCTCTGCAAGCTCTGTGGCGCCGCCCCTGGGACGATGCACCGCAGACACCATGCGTGCCCAGCTTGGGCGGCCTGGAGGAGGGACTATTGCCCATATCAGGTGAGCCAGGCAGCGGTGCAGGTCCACCGCATGGGGGCCCCTTTCGACGAGCTTTTCTGCCAGGGGCTCTTCGCCGACATCAGCCTGCTGGTGGCCAGACCAGCCTGGAATGACTGCTGGGCGAGACGATCCTGCGGGTGGGGGGACGGCATCCTGGTGGTACCCGATGGGTCTTTCGTCTTCACCGACGGTTCGTGCCTGAACGGGGATTTCCCGCACGTCAGGAGCGCGGGCTGGGCGGTCATCGTGCACGGTCCAGAGGGGAGGCTCATCGCCGAGGCGTGGGGCGCAGTGCCCCCCAGCGACCTCCCGTCGCAGACGGCCAAGGCGGGCGAGGACTACGCTGCCGCCATCGGCCTGGCCGACATCATCGGGAACTACACGCTGCTCAGCGACTGCCTGAGCACGGTCAAAGCTGCGTCTAACCTGGCCAAGGCCTGTGGCCCCAGCTCCCTGCACGCCCACGTTTGGGCCAGGGTGGGCGATGCGGCGGAAGGCGTCACCATTCGCCACGTGCCCGCCCACCGCACGGAGGCCGCAGTGCAGGACGGGGATCTCACCCTCTTCGAGCTAGTGGGCAACCGGCGCGCCGACACCAGGGCAAAGGAAGGAGCGGCCTTGCATGCCATTGCGGAGCAGGACGCCCTGATGTTGGAGGGCTGCTTGGCTCGGGCGAAGGAGGTGGCCAGGTGCGCGGCTGCCCTCGAGGTGCACATCACTGAGTCAGGGCTCAGAGACTCCTGGCCGCTCACCTCTCTGGACCTCGTGGACCTGGACCCCTACGCCCAGTCGCCCGCCCTGGGGCTGCTGCTGGAAGCTGAGGAGTCGACTGCCCGTGGCCCTGGCGGCATGGCGGCCCTAGGGGCGGCTGCAGCGCTGGCGACGGCAGCGGCGGCAAGCCAGGGAGCCCAGCCCCAGGACCAGGCAGACTCGAAGGAGTGCATGAGGAAGGCAGCGGACGTGGGGTCAGGCGGGCCCAGTGAGCCAGCCGCTGTTGAGTCGAGCGCGTCGGCGGCTTTGCATCGTGCGGTCCTGCGTCGCCGTGCTGAGCAGGCGGAGCGGACAGCGCCCTCTGCCGCGGACGCACGGTGCCCGCCCATGTCGGCTATGTCTTTGCCCCCATCCCCCTCCTTCCCCCGCGGCCTCTCCTTCTTTCGAGGCCGCCGTCCCGCCTCCGAGTGCTCTCTCGGGGCCTTCCAGCCAGAGGAGGACCCCAGGGCCCATTTTGGAGACCCCAGACTCTGGCCAAAGGTCGAGGGTCTCAATTTTGTGTGGTTCGCGGGATGGCCTGCCCCAGGTCGACCCTGGAGAATTGGGAGTCTGGGAGGTCAACGGCCACCGTCTTCGCGAATCGCGTGTTTCAGGCGGGGACGGGCCTGAGTTTTTGGTTTGTGTGGCGTGCTGGATGTATTGCATGAAACCCAGGTGCTGCCACAGAGGTCTGGCCAAGGCCTGCAGCGGGGCCCAGCGAGCTGACGACCCCAGGGCCAAAAAGGGCTCGAGGGCGCAGGCACGGAATGATTTCGCGAAGTCGATCCTGCCTGGGAAATCCAAGCAGCCGATCGACCAGCTGGCTCGGCCCACAGCGGCCACCCGCGCCAGGTGGGCTAAGTCGCTAGGCTTGGTCGCAGGCCCTGGGGGCGTGGGGGACTCCGAGGCCCCTGCAGGCTCCAGAGCCCCACCAGTGGAGCCCCCAGTGCTGCGGGAGCGGGCACCTGCCCCGCCTGCCCCTGGGAGGCTGTTCAGCCCAGGGCTCGAGGGAGCCCTGAGCTCCTTCGGCTTTGCCAGCGCGGCTGACGCACAGGAGCGAGGCAGGGTCGCCAGGGCGGCCAGGTCGGCGGACCCCAGGCCAGTGTTCGGCCTGAGCGCGGAGTGACGGTCGCGCTTCGGGGTCTGGGCCTGGTCGGCTGCGGGCCCGTGCAAGCTCTGTTCGTGGGGCCGTAAGTCGGCGTCCGAATTCGTTTGTGCATGACAAGCCCCAGGGTTATTGGATAAAAAAATGCCCCCACCGTAACCACTTGAAGGGCGTCCGCGTTGACAGCTCCAGATGGGCGGCCAGCAGGCCATGCAGAGCTCCCGTGTCTTCCAGGTTCGGCCTCCTTTCTGTCTCGGAGGCGTCCAAGATCAGTATCGTTTATCCGACCCCCATCCCCATCCCCATCCCCTTGGAGACCCCACCGAATTACCCCCAAGCTGGGGATACACCCCTCGAAACCCGATGGGAACGCCCCATATCCCCATCTACGGGGGCAAATCGGCCAGAGGGGCCCAGGCCACGCCGCTGGGGATGGGGAGCTGATACACGATACTCACAAGAGGGGGTGATGACCAGGGGGGGGATATCATGGCTGGGGCCATGCGATCTCCCCAGGTATCATGTCATGCCCATTCCTCTTGACTGATGCGTCCCCCGGCTCCCCCCTCGTCCGCGCACATGCATCGGGCAATGATTTGCGAACCCCCTTTTTCGACGTCCCCCGCTTGGACGCCCACCGTTTCCTCCTGAGGCTCGGCGCAGCGTGCGGGACCAGCCGCTGCTCGCGAGGGTTGCGGCGGGCTCCCTTGCGCGCATCGCGGAGTTCCAGCCGCGGCACTTGTCGATCACGGCCTACAGGGGCAACGATAGGGGGACATAGGGATAAGGGCGGAGGCATCGACCCCCAATCGCCCATTGATCGCCGATAAGGGGTCTGATAGCTCCACCCCGCCCAGGAGCGTGCAGATTAGCTATCGGGGGCCTATCGCCTATCTACTGGCGATGTATCGCCGATTCCAGGTCGATGTTTCCCCCCCTATGCCAGTCCCGCCCGATCGTTGCCTCAGGCTTGGTCCTTCGCGCGCCTGAGCGTGGCGGACGGCCCGCTGCTGGCGGCGATCTCGCAGGCCGCGCTCGGCAGCCTGGAGGCCTTCAAGCCGCGTGACCTGGCGCACTTCATGTGGCCCTCGGAAACCAACGACTGTGCGATCGACTGCGAACCCGACCCCTGCAGCGCCTCTGACGCTGGTTATCGGACACCCCCGCTGGGGTTCACCTTTGGCTGCAGACATCCTTCGAATTCTGAAGGCCAGGCCAGCGTTTTGGAAACCTGACCTGCGGGGGTAGGGATCAGATATGGTTGCCCGAATGCGGCGTACACATAATTGCTCGAAGGGTCGCGCGGATATCTTGGATCGGCGTGGGGCCAGCCTTGCGGCGCCTCCGGCACCGCCCCCGCGTTCCGCGCGCCAGGGAGAGGGGCGCCAGAGCCGATCCAAGAAATTGGGGCGGATCTCCGAGAAATCATGTTTATGTGGTTTGTTGTTCCTCCAGGTCTTTCGCCCGGCTGGAGGTGGTTCACGAGCCTTTAAGGGACGCCATTGCCTGACAGGCGGTCCATCTCAGCGGCCAGTTGAGCCCGCAGGACCTGACGAACATCGCTTGGTCGTGTGCGACACTGACCTTCGCTCATGGGCCGCTCTTGGTTGCAATCGCGGACTCGTCCGTCGGACGGCTTCACGAGTTCCAGGCGAAGGGCCTCGCTGGCATGTCGTGGGCGTTTGCCAAGCTGGAGGTCCGGCACGGGTCCCTTATGGAGCCGCTGGCTGTAGTGTTCATGGCAACTATGGCCACAGAGCGCATCGCTGCACAGGACCTTTCGAACCTGGTCTGGGCGTACGCCACGCTGCTAATCGTCCACGAGCCTCTATGCCAAGCCATCTCTGCCCGTGCGCAGCAGAACATCGCGGCGCTCTCGTCGCAGGCGCTCGCGAACACTGCGTGGTCTGTCGCTGTGCTGGAGTTCCTGGACAGGCCGCTCGTGGCCGCCATCTCGGCAGCTGCCGTCCCACGGATCGGGGAGCTCACGCCCCAGGCGCTCTCGAACACCGTGTGGGCGTGCGCCTCGCTGGTGTTCCGCAGCAGGCCGCTGCTGGCTGCGATATCGTCACGGTCCAGAAGCCGCATCCCCCAAAGCAGAACGCGGCATACAAACGTTGGAGGTCCGCGCGGATTCCTCGGATCTGCGCTGAACCTTAGTTTCTGGCGCGCGCGCGCAGCGCGCCAGGGGCGGCGGCGGAGGCGTTGCCAGGAGGCCCAGCGCCGATCCGAGAAATTCGCGCGGACCTCCGAGAATTTCAGTTTACGCACTTGTCTTTTCTTCTTGGTCCTTCTCCTCCTTGTCCCTCTTCCCCCCTCTTCCCGAGACTGGGGTGCTGGTGTTTCGCCTTCTGCTCGGCACCACCAGGCGTCGTCGCTCTGTCATTCCCCTCAGCTGTCCTCTTGCTTTGGGGGAAGGAGACGCGACGTCACCACCACCAGGGGGGGGGGTATCTCCAGCGATGAGGTCCACGATGAGGAGGAGTTGGAGGAGGAGGAGGAGGAGGAGGAGGAGGAGGAAGAGGAGCAGGAGGAGCCTCCCCGAGCTGAGGACTGGGGATATCTCGTGCAAGAGGCGGGGGCCACACCACCAGGGGGGACCCTCCCCTGGTTCCTCCCGCTGGTGGTCCCTGGTATTGTTAAGTCGGGCTTGTCCCTCTACAGGAGGGGCATTCAAACATAATCATAAAATAGTCTGGGGACGATGTTTCCAGTATTTTTGACGATGTTGGTGCAAATGTTTGGAATTTCATTCAAAATCCGCCTGTAGGGGGACACGCTCGACCTAATCCTATTCTTCGCCCCAACAGCGCTGAAGGAAACAAAGAAGAGCAGGTCCAGAAGCCACTTCCGCGCGTCCACGCCTCGTCTCCTCTCCGCGTCTGCCTTCACGCCTAGGCTTCTCCTCCACACCTTCGTCGTCGTTCTCCTCGTCCTCCTCGTTGTCCTTCTGCTTCCCCTGCTGCGCCTCTTCCTCATCCTGCTCCTCCTCATCGTGCTCCTCCTACTGATCCTCCGACTGCTCCTCCTAATGTTCCTCCTCCTCCTTCTCATCCTCCTCCTCCTCCTCCTCCTCCTCCTCCTCCTCCTCCTCGTCCTCCTCGACCTCCTCATCTTCCTCCTCCTCCTCCTTCTCCTTCTCCTCCTCCTCCTCCTCCTCCTCCTCCTCCTCCTCCTCCTCCTCCTCCTCCTCCTCCTCCTCCTCCTCCCAGGTCCAGAAGCAATATCCGCGCGTTCACGCCCCGAGACCTGGCCAACTCCGCGTGGGCCTTCGCGGAGCTTGCCGTCGAGGACGAGCCCCTGCTGGCGGCGCAGGCCGCTTAGGCCATGGCGCGCTGCGGGGAGTGTGGCCCGCAGGAGCTGGCAGGCCTGGCCTGGGCCTTTGTCGCCAGGAGGGTCGAGGACCTCTCGCGGGGGGACAAAGCGGGCGACGAGAATCTGTATACGCCCACCGCCGTTTTGGCCAGGCCAGCGGCGGCGGATATGTATAGATCTCGTCGCCCTACCAGATGCGTCGACCACCGCGACCCTCTCGAGGAAGGCCCCCGTCGGCGACGGCCCGATCCGCCGCGGCAATCTGGGTCAGAGCGCGCCGCCGGAGAGGCTCGTGGAGCAAACCGCGGCATCGATGGCCCCCGCCGCCGAAAGGGCCAGACCCGCCGCGGAGCCCGCCCCCCCCGGCCAGGCGCGCCTCGCGAGTAGGCTCGGGGAGGTCAGCGGCACCGATGTGCTCCTCCTGCGGGCCCCAAGAATATACACCACCACCACCACCACGTCCTCCGCCGGGCCGAGCTCGGCCTGGCCGAGTGTCGCCCGGCCGAGCTCCGCCTGGCCGAGGTTGGCTGCCGGCCCTCGCCCCCGCCGCCTGGATCCGCCGCGGATGCCTGGCCAGGAGACCAGCGGCACCGACGTGCCCCTCCGCCCCCCCGTCGGGTCCAGTTCGGTCCGATCGATCCGATTCGATATCGGCCGTGGCATCGCTCGGACGTGTCGAGGAGCATCTTGGGTCATGGTCCGAAAGGTAGACGCACGAAACCGAGAAGTGCGCGGGGAATGGGCGTCTGAGCCATGGCGACTGGCTCTGGCCGGCCCGATCCGATACGGCCCCAGTGTGCGGGCGACCCGTCGCGGCCCGATGCGATGCTTGCAGGGCGCTGTGTGCATCCTGGCGCCGCCGATTCGCCACGACTCGGGCTCCGAGGCGATGCGGCCCGATTCGACACACGTTCGGATCCGATCCGCTTGTCCGATTCTAGGGGGGGGCGAAGACTGACATCAACGATAACAACTCGGAGGTCCGCGCGGATTTCTCGGATCCGCGCTGGACCCCCCTCCCTGGCGCGCGGAGCGCAGCAGGGGCGCGGCCCCCGGCGCCGCTCCGAGAAATCCGCGCGGAGCTCCGAGTTGCTCTGTGCATCGCAGTTCTCCTTCCCCCTTGGGAAGCGGTGCTGGCCGTCCCTGCCCGCAGGACCGCCCCCTGCTGGACGCCCTCGCGGCCCAGGCGCTCCGGAGCCTCGGCGGCGCGGCCGCCGCCCGCAGCGCGGGGCTGCTCGCCGACCTCTTCTCGGCGGCTGCCAGGGGTGTGGTTGCGCCCAGGGCGTGGCCTGCGATCTGCGCCGCTGGGGTTAAGTCGGGCGTGTCCTTCTACAGGAGGGATGCTCAAAAGTTGTATAAAAAATAGTGTGGGGACGATTCTGTCTATAAATAAATCGGTATACGTATGATTCTGTCTATAAATAATTCGGTATATATATTTTTGTCTATCTAGACATATATTTATATTTAGATATATAGATAGATCGATTGATTGATTGATAGAGTATAATGTTTGAGCACGTTTTGTCTATTGTTTATGCTTCTTCCAGAATCCGCCTGTAGGAGGACATGCTCGACCTAACGCTGGGGCGTCGGGGGGGTCCCCGCGGGGCCCTCGTCGGGCCTCCTCGGGGCGCGAGGCCCGGAGGGCCCCCCTGCGGGGGCTCCCGAACCACCCCGACGGATGCGCGGAGGAGGAGGAGGAGGAGGGGGAGGAGGAGCAGGAGAAGGAGGAGGGGGAGGGAAGGGGAGGAGGGGAAGGGGAAGGAGGAGGAGGAGGAGGAGCAGGAGGAGGAGGAGGAGCAGGAGGAGAAGGAGGAGGAAGAGGAGGAGGGCAGGACAGTGCTTAAGGTCGCTGGGCACCGCGGCGGTGGCACTGGGACCACGGCGGAATGACGTGCACGTGGATTGCCATGGAGGGGCGGTCTGTATTCAAACCTGGTCCGAAAATAGTCGGGGGACGATCTGTGACTATCTCAGAACATGTTTGCGCATTTGTTCGCATGTGTTCGATTCTCCGTCCAAAGTCGGAATGTAGGGGGGGCACGCCCGACCTCAGTCTGTATGCGTAGACCTCTTGGCACCCCCGCGCAGGCCCCCCCCCGAGCCACACACTCTAGGCGATACTTACGAAAACCCAAGTTTCGGCCAGAGTCTCGATTATTCTGAATGTTTCAATGTAAATCCCAAGATTTGAATAGACTTTCTGGGTTTTCATTCAGATTCTGAGACTATGAATTTCTTAACCCATGATTTCTAAAGCATTTCGCAGGGTGTACCCCTGCGGAGCCGCCGGTGCTCCCCCGCTGCCGCCCCGCGCTGCTGCCGCAGCTGCGCGCCGCCGCCGCGCGCCTCGCGCCGGGCCTCGCCGCGCGCCCGCCCGCCGGCGCCGCGGCGACCCCCGCCGCGGCGGAGCGGGCGGAGGAGCTCCGCTCGGCATCGCTCGCACGCGTGCAGTGCTTTCTCGGATGGGCGTCCCCCTCCTCCTCCTCCGCCTCCTCCTCCTCCTCCTGTTTTTGTTTTTGCCCTTCGTCTTCTTATTATCCTCCTCCTTCTTCTCCTCATCCTCCTGTCTTCTTCTTCTTCTTCTTCTTCTCCTCCTCCTCTTCCTTCTCCTCCTCCTCCACCTCCTCGTTCTCCTCTTCTCCGCCTCTCCACCTCCTCCTCCTCCTCCTCCTCCTCCTCCTCCTCCTCCTCCTCCTCCTCCTCCTCTATCCTCTCCTCCTCCCTCGGCGAGGTCATCGTTCCGCTGTGGGGGAGGTCTTCTTTATATGGTTCGGGCGTGTACATCTTGTCTCGGCGAGGGCTATCATCCTCATGATCCTCGTCCTCGTCCTCGTCGTCGTCCCCGTCGTTTTCCTCGTCGTCGTCGTCGTCGTCCGCGTCGTCGGAGTGGGGTCCGAGGCGGACGTTCGGCGGCGAACTCCGAACACTAGTTAGCCTCGCCAGTCGACGCTTTCAGGCAACTCGATGGGCGGCGGGGGCAGGGTTGGCCTTCGTCGACCGCGTGGCGAAGTCCGAAGCCTACCCTCGCCTCCCATCGAGTCAGGAGAATCGATGGTTGGTGGGGGTAGCATTCGGATGTCGCCGCCTACTCGTGGAGCATCTTGGGCCATCCATCGAACAAGTATTGCATGAGGCCCACACATGCACCAGGAATGGGCGGCCCAGCGGTGGCGAGTCTAGGCCTCCCATTGGTCGCGCCGCATTCCCCGATTTGCTTCACGTCGACGTCGCCGGTGCATCGCCGATGCATCAGCGGTGCGGCGGCGCGATTTCTTCGACCCCATCTGCGCGGTCCCAATCTGTTGGGTCGACTTTCGGATCATGACTTGGGGTCTCCGGCGGCCGTTCGGAACGATCTGGGCACCCCCGGGAACGCCCTCGGCGAGGTGCAGTTGCTGTGAAGCACCCCGACCGAGGCTGGAAAGCATCGGGGAACTTCATCATCCTTGACCACTCGAACCTCCGTGCCCAGCTACTCCGACCCCACAGGGGAGGCCTGGAGGACCCCGTTTGGGAGGCCTCTACAGGAGCTGGCCCTCGGCCTGGGCGCGCTGGGCGTCCGGGAGCTGCTCCTGCTCGCCGGCGTGGGGCCGCCGGCTCCGGGGGCTGCGCCGCCTCTGGAGCTCGGCCAGGCTGGCGCCCGCCGGAGGCGGGGGCGGGCGGCCAGAGCTCAGCGTGTGGGATGGGCTCAGAGTGGGGGAGGACTGCTGGGTCGGTTGGGGGAGGTCCTATCCTCCTCCTCCTCCTCCTCCTCCTCCTCCTCCTCCTCCTCCTCCTCCTCCTCCTCCTCCTCCTCCTCCTCCTCCTCCTCTTATATATTTCCTTCTGCATGACTCCTCCCTGTCGCATCCCAAGGCCGGTCGAAATGGCGGGCTGGGCGTTTCGCTAGAAATTTCATCACATGTCATGGTCCTGAAGCTTGGAATTTGCAACAGTATCATCGAAGGAGGGCGTTCCGCTATCAAAATGCGGCTCGCGCCTTAGCGCCGCACACACTCCTACTTAATTACCCTGGCGAAGGCCCTAACTATATGCATATGTGAACACAGCCGTTGTGTGCCCCGCCTTCGTTGGAGCTCCCTATCGGGCCACGAAACGTGTGAGTGGTGCGCCGAAATATGTGCGGTGGCGCCATTTGAACCCTGCCGCTGGGGCCTTCGGTGGAGCTCCCTATGGGACAACGAAGCGGGTGAGGAGTGTCCCGAAATGGGAGCGGTGGCGCCATGTGAACACCCTTCGGTGGAGCTCCCTTGGGGCCACGCAACGTGTGAGGGGTGTGCCGAAATTGGTGTGGTGGCGGCATGCGAACCCTGCCACTGAGGCTTTCGGTTAAGCTCCCTAATGGGCACACGAATCGTGTGAGGGGTGTGCCAAAACGGGCGCGGTGGCGCCATGCGAACCGTGCCACTGGGGCTTTCGGGCGGACTCCCTAAGGGGCCACGAAACGTGTGGGGGGGGTGCCACCGCCATGTGACCCTGCTGCCAGACCCTTCGGTGGAGCTCCCTTGGGGCCACGTAACGTGTGAGGGGTGTCCCGAAATGGGAGCGGTGGCGCCATGTAAACCTTGCCGGTGGACCACTCGGTGGCGCTCCCTAAGGGACACGCAACGTGTGAGGGGTGGGCCGAAATTGGAGCGGTGGCGCCATGCGAACCGTGCCACTGGGGCTTTCGGGTGGACTCCCTAAGGGGCCACGAATCGTGTGAAGGGGGTGCCAAAACGGGCGCGGTGGCGCCACACGAACCGTGTCACTGGCGCTTTCGGTGGAGCTCCCCGCGGGGCCACGCAACGTGTGAGGAGTGTGCCACCGCCATTTGAACCCTGTCATTGGGGCCCCCTAAGGGACAACGAAGCGAGTGAGGGGTGTCCCAAAATGGGTGCGATGGCGCCATGTGAGCCCTGCCGCTGGACCCTTCGGTGGCGGTCCCTTGGGGCCATGCAACGTGTGAGGGGTGTGCTGAAATTGGTAAGGTGGCGCCGTGTGAACCCTGCCGCTGGGGCCTT